GCTGAGGGACAGCGCCCAGGCCCAGAGTTCAGGCCCCACGACCAGACCAAAAAAAAAAAAATTAAATTGTTGTTTGATTTTATAACAAATATCAGTGCAAGAAATGGTCACGCACTGGCTTCCACTGGCAGGGGTGGGCTTGGGCACTGGCTTCCACTGGCAGGGGTGGGCGGGGCCTCCGCTCTGTGCGAGGGGAGGAGTGAGACCAGAGATGCCTCTCCTGGAAGAGCGCGCTGTGTGTCCAGTGTCGCCCTCGTCCAGACCAGTCGCTCCAGCAGCCTTCACTGCTGCGCCTAGCACGGGGCTAGCTGGGGAGAGGCACTGCCAGTGTGGTCTGGCTCCAGGGGGCTGAAGTCAGAGGGGCGCAGCAGAGGCGTGATGGGCTCCCAAGGCAGTGGCCGCAGGAAAGGGGAGGGGAGGCCCGGGGAGCCGGGCAGGCTGGAGGGATGGAGGTTCCCAGGCTGGAGAGTCATGTCTGCCATGTTCCTAGTAACGAGTGGGGTCAGCACCTGCAAGCTGGGGGCAGGGTGCTTTGAGGAGAAAGGACACTGTGAGGAGATGCTGAAGGGGACAGACCCCCAGAAGCCGCGCTGGCCAGCTTGGGTCAGGTCACCAGGACTCTCTTTTTGTCTTTCTTTCTTTGTTCTTTCTCTTTCTTTCATTTTCTTTCTCCCTTCTGTCCTTTTTTTCTTTGTCAGTCATGGGGCTTGAACTCTGGGCCTGGGCGCTGTCCCTCAGCTCTTCAGCTCAAGGCGAGCGCTCTACCACTTGAGCCACAGCACCACTTCCAGTTTTCTAGTCCTTTATTGGAGATAAGTCTTATGGAATTTCCTGCCTGGGCTGGCTTTGAACTGCACTCCTCAGATCTCAGCCTCCCTGAGTAGTTAGGATTACAGGCGTGAGCCACCAGCATCTAGCTCATTGGTTTTCTGCAGCAGTGCATTTTGCAGCAATGTGGACGCCCCACAGCTCTCGGCTGTACAAGATGACAAGATAGATAGATAGAGATAGATAGGTAGATAGATAGATAATAGGTAAGTAGGTTGATAGATGATAGGTAGATAGATGATAAGTAGGTAGGTAGATAGATAATAGGTAGGTAGGTAGGTAAATAGATGATAGGTAGGTAGGTAGATAGGTAGGTAGATGATAGGTAAGGTAGGTAGGTAGACAGACAGACAGATGGTAGGTAGGTAGGTAAGTAAATGATAGGTAGGTAAGTAGGTAGGTAGACAGACAGACAGATGATAGGTAGGTAGGTAGACAGACAGACAGATGGTAGGTAGGTAGGTAGATAGGTAGGTAGACAGACAGATGGTAGGTAGGTAGGTAGGTAGACAGACAGACAGATGGTAGGTAGGTAGGTAGACAGATAGATGGTAGGTAGGTAGGTAGGTGGGTAGGTAGGTAGGTGGGTAGGTAGGTAGGTAGGTAGGTAGATGATTCAGCCAGGAATCCAACCCGGGTCGTGGCTGTGGCTGTCTGCCGCGGATGGGCGCCGGAGTACGTGGAGGTGAGCCGCACAGCTCCCCTGCGCTCAGCGCACCCCGTGACCGTCCTCCCCGGCCCCGGCCCCCCAGCCGCAGCAGCACAGGTGACGGGGAAAGTTTCAGGGTGTCCATGTGCTCCCTGAGTTGGCTCCCACCACAAGCTCCTTGCGCGTTGCAGAGATCGGTGTGGGCATCACCGGCTTCGGCATCTTCTTCATCCTCTTTGGAATTCTCCTGTACTTTGACTCGGTGCTCCTGGCTTTTGGAAATGTGAGTCCCCTCCCCCCTCAGCCCTGGGTGCCTCCCCTGTCCCGCCTTCCTGAGCTCGCTGGCCCCAGAGGACCAACCCCACGTCCACTCAGATCACCCACAGCCGGTGGGTGCGAAGAAGCTATCGGGCCAAGTTCTGGTGAGGGGCGGGGGCTCCATGATGAATCCGACGCTCCACCATCTCAGTCCCAGCATCTAGGCCGGGGTGGCAGGGGATGGAGGGCAGAACCCATGGGCATGACAACCTGAAGGTCGCGCCAAGGTCTGGGGTGCCATGATGATTCCATCGCCTGAATCCCAGGAATGGGGAGAGCGCATGGACCTGCAGGGGCTGTGCTAAAACCAGAGCAAGACAAACACACTCACTATAAAGCAAGGAGCTGAGCCGGGCGCTGGGGCCTCACGCCTGTAATCCTAGCTGCTAAGGAGGCTGAGAGCTGAGCATCGTGGGGCAGGAAAGTCCATGAGACTCTTATCTCCAATGAACCACCAGAAAACCAGAAGTGGAGCTGTGGCTCAAGTGGTCGAGCGCTCGCCTTGAGCTGAAGAGCTGAGGGACAGCGCCCAGGCCCAGAGTTCAAGCCCCATATACCCACAAAAAAAAAAAAAGAAAACAACACACACACACACACACACACACACACACACACACACACACGGAGCTGAGGAAGAGAGGATGAAAGGATGTTTGGAAAGGAAATAGGTGTGGAGGTGGATAAAGCTCTTGGAGGTGTCTGGAAGGGAGAGCATGGAACATTCTAGAAGAGAGCCAGAGTTACATTTGATGGGAGCTTGAGTCCCCTTAAGTGGCTAGAAGGAGACAGAGCTGTGCAGTGGGAGGTGGGGAAGCCTCTGGAGTTCCCTGTGGCTCCCTAAACTCCATCCCCCTCCCCCCGGTCCCTACCCCCGGCCTCATCTCCACCTCCATAAATGGAGAGGCTCAAACTCTGCCTCCCGTCTCCCCAGGAGAAATGAAGCTGAAGGCTTCCCGTTCTCCTCGTCCCTCTCCACCTCGGATTCTGTCCCATTTCCCCATCTCTACTGTGTCCTGGGCAAACAGGCCTTGTCCTTGGGCAGCTCCGGCCCCATCCCAAGACTCCCAGGGAGAGGGGAGGGTGGGGGACACGTGGCCCTCACGCCCTTTTCCCTGTCCACAGCTGCTGTTCCTGACCGGCCTCTCCCTCATCATCGGCCTGAGGAGGACATTTTCCTTCTTCTTCCAGAGGCACAAACTCCGGGGGACCAGCTTCTTCCTGGGGGGTGTGGCCATTGTGCTCCTGCGCTGGCCGCTTCTGGGCATGCTCCTGGAAACCTATGGGTTCTTCAGTCTCTTCAAGTGAGTACACATCGCATAACCCTGGAGGGAGGCCCAGGACAGACACAGTGGATCTTTCCAGAATTCAAATCTCATCTCTGCACCTGTCCAGGAGACTCAGCAGCCTTCCTGCCTCCAGGCCTAGAAAGCGTCACACACGGCCCGGGTCAGCCTTGCCAGAGTATTTGACAAGAATGGGACACAAAGGCAAAGATGCCTTCTACCAGGAGGCATGGAGCCCAAGGCAGTGCCACCGCCAGCATGGCCTCCACTGCTGCCAGTGCCCAGCGCCCGGCCACCCTGGTGCTCCACAGCCGATCAGGCTGAACAATACTAACCATGAGATGAGCAAGTCAGAAAGATAAATGTCTCCCGGGCATGGCTTTGAGCAAGGCCCTACGATGTAGTTCCCAATATTCTGAAGCATGGTTTATGCCTGGAAACTGAGCTTCGGAGAAGGGAAGGAATTTGCCCACATGTATAGCACCAGTAAGCAGTGAGGTCAAGATGTGAACACGCTGGCCCCAGGGCCTTTGCTTCTTCACACATCACTATGCTGCCTTTCCAAACTACAGCTGCAGAGCCAAGTGTACCCCAAATGCCCAAAGACCCTGAGAGACAGTATCTGAGCCTTTGGGGGGGCCTCAGCCTTTCCCCCTCCCTCCTGGACCACACTGACCCCTTTCCTTCCCTCTCCTGCTAGGGGCTTCTTCCCTGTGGCTTTTGGCTTCCTGGGCAACACTACCAACATCCCCTTCCTGAGTGCAGTAAGTAGTAGATCATGGGGTTAGGGGTGGCTGGGGCGGGGGGGGGGCACCAGGACCAGAAGTGGGGCTCCCCATCTCCTCTTAGAAACCCCCACCCCTCTTCCCCTTCCTGCTCCGAGGTGTGTGTGTGTGTGTGTGTGTGTGTGGTGTGTGTGTGTGTGTGTGCCTCTCAGGCTTGAACTCTGGGCCTGGGCACAGTCTCTTAGCTTTTCCACTCAAGGCTGGTACTCTTCCACTTGAGCCACAGCTTCACTTCCAGCTTTTTGGAAAGAAGAGTCTCACAGACCTTCCAGCCTAGCTGGCTTTGAATAGCAATCCTCAGATCTCAGCCTGCTGAGTAGCGAGGATTACAGATGAGAGCCACGGGCACCAGGATAAGCCTGCTCCTTTTCTCCATGGACAAGAGCTGCGGGGGCCAGGGCACAGATGCAGGTGTGCTAAGGTGTGAATGGAGAGGTGGGCAAAGCAGGAGCTCCCTGTTAGAACAGGAAGGGAAGGTGGCTCGGCGGTAGAGTGCTTGCCCAGCATGCACGAAGCCCTGGGTTCCATTCCTCAGCATCACATACACAGAAAAAGCTGGAAGTGGTGCTGTGGCTCAAGTGGTAGAGCACTAGCCTTGGGCAAAAAGAAGCTCAGAAAGAAAGAAAGAAAGGAAAGAAGAAAAAGAAAATAAAGACTCCGAAATTCCAGATAGCCCAGTCAGAAAGTTCCTGAGGTTTCTGGAAGCTGTTAAGTCTGGGTCCTCGGCATGGAGAGAATGTGTGACAGTCAGTGACAGCAGGAAAGGCAGGTGGCAGAGCTTGCCCTGGTCCCCAGCCCTGACTCTCTTCCCTGTCTCTGAAGCCCCTGACAGAACATGAGCTCCCAGAGCTGCCCAGGTCCCCCTCCCCCGCCAGCAGCACCCTTCTGTGTCTTCCAGCCAGGCACCCCCCTTCCCCCCACCCCCTCTGTCTGCGCAGCTGCTATCAAGGCCAGCCCTGTAATAGGCTGGCTCTCGAGAGCATCCCCCGTGCTTTGTCTGGAGTAATGGTTCGTGGCTTCCACAGCTGTTCCAGAGGTTTCAAGGCACCAGCTCCATGGTCTGAACCTCAGAGATGAGCTCCTTGAACTCGAAGCTTGGGTGGAGGAGGAAGCTAGAAGGAAAGTGAGGGCCGCTCCGGACGGGCGCCCGCCCCTGCCCGCCCCTGCCCGCCCACCAGCGCTGACTCACTCCTCGTCAGTACTCCGTTCCCACCAAGTCCAGGAGGAAGGATGACCTCAGACCAAGGACTCGAGACTGCGGGGGCTGTGGGAGCATGAATCCTGGCTCTGTGGAGATCCGGTGGGGGCTGGAATCACACCCTCACCCTGGACTTATGGGAGGAACGTGAAGATTAAGTCCCCTAAACGGTGAGCATGTCTGAGATCGCAGTCATTGTCTACGGTCCAGGAAGTTCATCCTCAGTTTCAGGGGTACCTGCAGCGCCTTTCCCCACAGCAGAATCACCGAAGCAGTTAGGTCTAGCCTGTACTCCTCACTGGAGCCGCCACACCAGGGTTAAATAACACACTTTTGCCAGGCCCTGATGGCTCACGCCTGTAATCCTAGCTACTCAGGAGACTGTCATCTAAGGATCACGGTTCAAAACCAGCCCAAACAGGAAAGTCCATGATACTCTTATTTCCAATGAACCACCAGAAAACTGGAAGTGGCGCTGTGGCTTACAGTAGTAGAGCACTAGCCTTGAATAAAAGAGCTCAGGGACAGCACCCAGGCCCTGAGTTCAAGCCCCACAGCTGACCAAAATAAAAAAAAAATTTAAATGATGATGATGATGCACTTATTGAGTGAGACAATATGTTGAGGTATTCATCACATAAGCATTGGACAGGATGGAGACTCCTCTCTATAGAGTAGCAGGAAGTGCATCTCCACCATCAGCTTGTGATGGGGCAACTCCTGTCTGGAGCAGAACCATGGTCTCTCTCTGTCTCTGTCTTTCTCTGTCTCTCTCTCTCTTCCTCTCCCTCTCTCTTTCTCTCTCTCCCCCCTCTCTCCCCCGCCCCAACGTTTGGAAAGCCCAGCCTGAGAGAGGAAAGAGCCTGGTCCTAAAGAGCCCTTTGTCCAAGAGGAACAAGCACCATTATAGGCTCAAGAAAGAGACCAGTGGCTCCCACCTGTAATCCTAACTACTCAGGAGGCTGAAGTCTGAGGATCAAGGTTCAAAGCCAGCCTGGGCAGGAAATGTCCATGAAACTCTTACCTTCAATTAACCAGCAGGAAAAAAAAAAAAAAACAGAAGTGGAACTGTGGCTCAAGCAGCAGAGCACCAACCTTGAGCGAAAAAGCTAAAAGACAGCATTTAGCTGAGTTCAAGCCCCACTACCAACACAATTTAAAAAGAAAAGAGACTAAAGTTATTGCAAGCCGAGTTCCATGAACATTGATTGTGATTCTCCGCATGTGCCCAATGATGCAGCACAAGCCTAAGGTACAGGTAGGGGAGACCGGTCTTGGCCCTCAAGATGCTGGACCCAAGCAATCCAAAGCAGCATGTTGGCACTGGAAGTTACTTCTCTGTCCCTGGCGCTGCCCAGGTATCCAGCTTCTACAGCTGCCATTTAATTCTTCCCCAGCAGCGGCTTACGTAACTATCGTTCCCATCTGATCGTGTCATGTCATATTTGTCTCAAAGGCCTGAACAAATGGCCAGTAGCTGTGGGAGGACAGAAGTTTCGAAAGGAAAAGCAAAGGCCCCACCACCGTGCTTTGTCTCCCAGATCCCAGACCGCAGCCCAGGAGCTGCCTTCTCGTGGGAGGCCTGAACTGACCTAGTTTTCTCTGAGCTCCTGGGTCAAACTGTGCCCTTCCCTCTCCTCCTCCAGCTCCTCTTCCTGACCACTTGTGACTCTTGTTTGAAAGGGAACACATTTCACGAGCACCCATGGGCACGTGCCCTAGTGCATGCGCACACACACACACACACACACACACACACACACACACACACCCTGAGGCCGCCCCCTCCACTGTGCTGAACAGGTCACGGGCTGAGTGGGTCAGGGTGGGAGAGGGTGGAGGAGGCTGGAGAGAATGTGTGGGGAAGAGAAGGCCAGCCTTGGCGGGCTTCTGGAAGAGGGGGAGGCTGGCCCCAGGCACAAGAGCCCTCAGACAGAGGCGGGGCGTGGAGCTCTTGAGGAGGGTCTGGGTGAGGGGCAGAGGTGGGCTCATTCCGGGAGACGTCACCCCGGTCTTATAAAAGGAGCTGTGACGGGGGACGGTGAGGAGCCCAGGAGCCGGCGCCCTCCCCTTTGTGTTCACCCCAGCATTTCTGACAGGCCTGGGCCAAGGTGAGTGTGCCGGGCATCCACACTTGGGGAGGGGCCTGCCCTGCCCCAAGGGGCTCTGGCAGCCAGCATTGACTTCGTCCAGCACTGACCTAAGCATCCAGGTAGGGAAGCTGGGGTCGCTTCCGGGCTGGCCGGGTTCGTCTGGGATGCAGGGTGACCACGCGGGCTTGGTTGTGTTTATGAATGGAGGACTCCAAGGATTCTCCTGGCTTGTGGAGAAAATAAATGCAACGGGGAAAAGCTGGCTGGGGTTTGAGGCATCAGAAGCTTTCGGAGAGATCTGGGGAACCCCTCCGACTCTTGGGACCAACAGGGCCACAAAAGGAAGCAGCTCTACTTCAAAAGCTTTCTGTGTTCTTTTGTGTATGTGTGTGCATGTGTGTGTGCATGCGTGAGCATGAGTGTGTATGTGTGTATGTGTGTGTGTTGGTGCTGGGACTTGAACTCAGGGCCTGGGTTCAGTCCCTTAGTTTTTTCACTCAAGGCCAGGGCTCTGCCACTTGGGCCACAGCTCCACTTCTGGCTTTTGGCCGGTTAATTGGAGAGAAGAGTCTCATGGACTTTCCTACTTGGGCTGGCTCGGAGTCATGATCTCAGATGTCAGGCTCCTGAGTAGGTACGTGCACATGTGGTATGTGGTGTGGTGTGTGCAGCATGTGTAGTTATGGTGTGTGTGGTGTGTATATAGTGTGTGTTGTATGTAGAGCGGGATGTCTGCATACGTGTGTGTGTGTGTGTGTGTGTGTGTGATGCACACTGCATAGGAGGAGTGCAGAAGTGCTGGCCAGCATGGAGTGGAGGCCAGGAGAGCCAGGTGAGCACTGCAGCTACCCAGCGTGCCACGCCCCTCACCACCTCCCCCTGCCCAGAGTGGCAGCCCGAGCCTTCTGCCTGGCTTGGATGGCTCCAGGAAGAGGCCCACAGCTCCTCCAAGGGGGGAGGGAGGGGGGAGTGGGGCAGCCCAGCCCTGGCTAGCACCCAGGTGCCACGGCACAGCATCCAGGTGATGCTCTGGAGAGGACTGCCAAAGCACCCTGGTGCCCAGGCGCCCAGAGCCTGTTCTAGTCCAGTGAATGAACCCTGCCTCTACTCCATTCCTGTACCTCGCCTTAAGTCAGCTACAGACAAGGTCAGGGTTTCGGGGTGTCACAGAATCAAATACCCTGAGTCATCTGCAAAACAAGACCTGAGCTTTCCCTCAGTTTGCGGTCTGGCCAGTGAGGTCTGGGGAGGGGCGGGGAACCTGCAGCACTCCTGCTCTCCAAGACCGACTTTAATCGTGGACAATTATTGGGCAATCTCCAAATACCTGATGACTCTTTTGAAGAGAAATTGGGTTTAAGTGTGGGAGAAGGCGGGTGGGGGAGAGCAAGGGAGCAGGAGAAGATGGAGGGAACGGGCGTAGGGTCAGGGCACATGGTTCCCATTCCAACAACAAGACGATGAAGCCAGCTCGGTCCCTGTCCCCCACTCACAGGGGGTAGACTAGAGACAACTGACCTGCTAAGTCAGGGAAAGGCTCTTCTTGTCCCTGACCTACAGGCAATAAGACGATTTAATGACAGTCTTCAAGGCTCTGAGAGAGCAAGATGATTGTCTCTGTCTTCCTTTTTTTTTTTTCCTAGAAAAGATAAGGAATTAAGTTTCTGTTATCACAGGAAGGAAAGAGCTGGATTCTGGAAGGCACATTCTAAGGAGGAGAGAGGACAGACAGCTGCGATTTGATGCAGAACAAGGAAAGCTGGGCCTGTGCTCAGGCTCCAAGGAAAATGTTTGACCTTCACTCACACCACACAGAGCATTCATCCCTCTCTCTCCAGCAGCCTCTTCAAGAAAACCTGCAACGAATCCTGACCTTCTCCAACCTGGGAATTCTGTCCCTTCTACTAAAGTAGGGCCTTCCCTCCCTTCCTCTCCTTCCTACCTTCCCTCCCTCCCTCCATCCCTTCATTCTTATGACTACTGTCTTCACCTCTTCCAGGAAGCCCTCCTGAAGAGCTTCCCCTAGCATCAATTCTACACTGAGTACACGGTGCCCGTGATCTTGCTCCTGTTTCCCTGTTGTATTTTTGCAAGCTCACCCCTCCTAGACAAGAGCTTGCTCCTCCCTTCCACGCTCTCCCTTTTGCACTGGGCTCTGGCCCCTGCATCCAGCCCAGATTCTGTGCCTGACCTAGTTCTTGTTCTCTCGTTCTCTCTGTCTCTGTCTCAGGGAACTTTTAGGACCTGCTTCGCACCAGGATGAGCTCCCAGTTTCCTTGGAAGCTCCTGCTTTTCCTCTGTGCCACCTCCTTCGGGGAGCCGCTGGCAAAGGTGGCCCCTGTGGAGAATCCTAGAACTCTAGGTACGCATTGTCCAGGTGGGGGAAGGGGCAGGTGAGAGGTTACAGAATGAGTTTTGCCCTGTTTCTCAGCTGTAGCTAGCCTGCTGAGAGGAGTTTAGCATTACGCTTGATTGGCACCTTAGACTGACACTTGCACGTGCACAGCATATGGAGTGGGGGAGGGAGAGGGAAAGGAGGGACAGCTCACCACTGTCATGCACATCAAGAACCTGACCTAAGCCAGGTGCTGGTGGCTCAAGCCTGTAATCCTAGCTACTCAGGAGGCTGAGATCTGAGGATTGCGGTTCAAAGCCAGCCCGGGCAGGAGAGACCATGAGACTCCTATCTCCAATAAACCACCAGAAAACCGGAAGTGGCGCTGTGGCTCAAGTGGTAGAGCGCTCACCTTGAGCTGAAGAGCTGAGGGACAGCGCCCAGGCCCAGAGTTCAAGTCCCATGACCGACAAAAAAAAAAAAAAAAAGAACCTGACCTATGCTCGGGTACCACCAAAGTTCTATACACTACATTCTCTGCACCAGCCGTCTGTGCAGATGTTGGAAGGCAATTTTTCATGCAAGCTATTTATTTTTGTGTGCGTGTGCCAGTCCTGCAGCTTGAAGTTAGCATCTGAGTGCTGTCCCTGAGCTTCTTTTGCTCAAGGCTAGCATTCTACCTCTTGAGTCATAGCTCTACTTTTGTCTTTTTGATGGCTAATTGGAAATAAGAGTCTCTTGGACTTTCCTGCCTGGGCTGGCTTCAAACTGTGATCCCTAGGTCTCAGCCTCCTGAGTAGTTAGGATTACAGGCGTGAGCCACTGGCACCCAGCATGCAAGTTATTGTTACCTGCTACCTCAGATATGGAACATGGGGCGGGGGTGGGGGGGAAGACCCCCTAAACACAAAGGAGAGTACTTGATGCCTGCCAATCTTAAAGATTCTCTGGGGAACTGCTCAGTGGCAAAACAGAAGCCCAGACAGGTCCAGAGACCGCCCCCAAGTCACCCAGCCACATACCACAGAATCACAGCAGGGGCCACAGCACCCCGAGAACACAGGTGCTGAGCAGCATGAGTTCACAACAGTGTGGATCCTTCAGCCCCAGTGAGGGTTTGAACCCTCCTTCATCAGCGTTCTGGGCAGTCTAGAACCTGTACTTAACCTCTCTGGAAGTCAAGATATCCTCTGCACACATGCCCATAAAATACCTGAGAGCAGACACCCCTGTGCCCCGCCCCCACGCCCTTGCTGTGTTCTTTGCTTGGTGCTTTCTTTCTGGGGTAAAGGGGCTGCTCAGGGAATAACCCAGCACTGGCCAATGGTCTAACAGTAGCCCAGGGATGGTCCTGCTGCTGTTGAGTGATGTCACTGGGATCCTCCAATCCCAGCCAGGCTCTGGGCAAGGTGGGTGGAGACTGGAGACTGTGAAGTCTGGGCCATGACCTACCATACTTCTCTTCCCCAGAGCAAGCCATGGCAGCCAAGAGCCTGCCCAAGGCCCTCCACCCCCAGCACACACCCACTCACACACCAGGCCTCATTCCCACTCACCTTTTGCACACAACTGGCTGGACTCACTGTCGACTCGGAGCTAGCCTATTTTCCTGCCAACAAGTATAGTGAACTTAATGAGCCTTTCATGTCAAGTGCCTTCCGAATTAGCCTCGTTAGCCGTCAGAACCAAGGGGAGAAATTACACTTGGGGTAGCAGGGGAGGTGAGCCAGTTAAGGTGACCTAGATATTTTCTGGTCTTCACTGAGCCCTAATACAGCTTATTTGTGGGTGCCAATCCTTATCAGGGGCCAGGCTGCAGCACCGTTATGGGAGAGCACATTAGCCTTGGTTACACTTTTTTTTTTTTTTTGGTGTGTATATGTGTCTGTCCTGGGACTTGAATTCAGGCCCTCGGCACTGTCCCTTTATTTATTTATTTATTTTGCTCAACGTTAGTGCTCTACCACTTGAGCCACAGCTCCGCTTTTTTTTGCTGGTTAATCGGAGGTAAGTGATTCGTGGACCTACCTGCCCCTGCTAGCTTCCAACCAGGATCTTCAGATCTCAGCCTCCTATCTAGGACTGCCGCACCCAGCCTCCACTTTCTTGTTAGTCCAACTTTTTCATTTGTGTTTATATATTGAAGAAGCATTTGTTGAGGCCCTACTGTGTGCAAGCTTCAAGCATTTGGGACGCAACGTGATGGTGGAGCCTGGCCCTCCGGTCTCCAGCAGCGCTCCCAGTCCCAAAGGGGTGAGGCCAGATGCTGAGACTGAGCCAAGAGGCCAAAGCATGGGGCCAGAAGAGGGCCCCAGCCGTGCATTCGCTAAACGCTGTGGGTTTCCTTGATTTCCAAATCCCAATCTGTTTGCTTCCTAAAAGGAAGTCGTTTTAATACCAAGGCTCTTTCGGATGATTCTGGAAATGGTTCGAAATCAAAGCAAATGACCCAAACACCCATCCTGGAAGGATGGTGGGGATGGAGTCACCCCCTCTCAGAGGGACAAGCCGGAGCCCCGACCCTTGCCCCCAGCCCAGACCCTGGCCTCACCTCCCCGTGCTCTCTCTGTCCTAGGCCACGGGCCGGGCCCCCTGAGCCCCTGGGAGCAGGGCCTGGGGTGCGCAGAGGCCAAGCCGGCCCGGCCTGCGCTGAGCCCCCGGGAGGCCTCCCTGTGCCCGCCGGGCCAGGGCTCCGCGGGACCCCGGCGGCCCGGCCCTTGCGCCCCACACGGCCGGCCGAGCCCTGCACCCCGGGGCGCGGTGCCGGTGCCGCGGGAGAAGGACCTGGCGGCCTACAACTGGAACTCCTTCGGCCTGCGCTACGGGAAGCGGCTGGCGGCGCCCGGGAGCCGCGGGCCTGGCGGGCGCAGGGGCTCACCGTGAGCTCCAACCCCACCCCGGGGACTCGGGCTGGGGCCTGGGGGACTCCAGGACCCCGGAGGCTGGACGGGCAATAAAAGAAGAAATGCAGCCAATTCACTGGCGTGTGCTTTGTGGCTCATCATCATCATCATCATCATTATTTGGTCAGTGTGGGGTTTGAACTCAGGGCCTGGGCGCAAGGCCAGCGCTCTACCACTTGAGTGGTTGATTGGAGATGAGTCTCGTGGGGACTTTTCTGTCCAGTCTGGCTTCAAGTCCCCATCCTTAGATCTCAGCCTCCTGAGTAGCTGGGATTACAGGCGTGACCCACCGGTGCTGGCTGTGGCTTATTTTTGCAAGCAGCTACAGTGCGGTCTTCTGCCAACTGTGAGATGTCTGGGGGATGGAGGCCAGAGCCTCTCCAACTAGAGAGGCTGCAGAGCCAGGCCGCTTCCCGCGCTCTGCTGGGGCTCAGGGACAACCACCATGCTTTCCCTCCGACAGCATGAAAAACTTTCAAAGGACGGAGGAGCCTCGCTGGAAGGCAGTTTGAATGTTTGAACAGCACCACATTTCCATGAAATGCTTTGACTCTCAGCCAGACTCAACCCACCCTTTGATTTTATGGTAGAAAAATGGGTGGGGGAGCAGCCCCGTTAAGTACCTCCCCCTTAATTATCAAGGAGCCACTTGGGGCAGCGGGACCTGGAAGCCGAAGCTAAGCTCTACTGCCCTGTTCACCGAGGCTGAACTATCATCTGGAGTTCCAATTGGGCCGAATGCCCCGGCCACCCAGTACAAGGAGCAGCCACAGTGGACAGGGCTCCTCCAGGGAAGCCCAGGATGGTCTAGTAGTCCATGCTGTTCCTTCCCATCACTCTTGTTAGAACACCCTTCCCCCTCCCCACCATGATGGACAGTTACCCCCCCCCCTTCAAAGGCAGAACGTTGAGGTCTGAAAAGAAATATGGCTCCCTAGAGACACAGAAGCAATGGCTGGCAAGCCCCGTAGCTCTCCGTCCACTGTCGCGGTCACGGTTGCATGCTCAGGTCTCTAAGGTGACAGGCTGGCGCCTTGAATCACCTGGGGTGCAGATCAAGAAAGGGCAAGTCAGCTTCGTCAGTGGGCTACATTCCTGGGGGTCCAGTAGCAGGGGAAAAGAAATTTTGCTAGGCAAAAGTAGAACTTGTCTGGCTGGGAAGGTGGCTCAGTGGTAGAGCGCTTGCCTTGCATGCCTGAGGCCCTGGGTTCGATTCCTCAGCACCACATAAGCAAAAAAAGAAAGCCGGAAGTGGCGCTGTGGCTCAAGTGGTAGAGTGCTAGCCTTGAGCTGAAGAGCTGAGGGACAGTGCCCAGGCCCAGAGTTCAGACCCCACGACCAGACCCCCCCCCAAAAAAAGTAGAACTTGTCATTAGTCAAGTACCATCTGGCTCACAAGACAACTCAGCCCTGTTTGACAACCTCAGGGTCCCCCCCCCCATTGCTGCATTATCTAGGGTGGATATGTTCTTTCCCAAGGGGAAGCACCAGTGTTCCACACATTACCTAACCGGGAACTCCACAGGATGGAGGCAGAGCTGTGTTGCTATGGCAACGTGACAGGCTGCCATGGGAACTGAACAACCTGCCCCACCCCCATCTTTACCCTTGAAACGGCCCTCCAGCTGTGAGCGCGTGTCATAGCGTGTCACCATGACGCTGTGGGCACCTGGAAGGGCATTTCTTTCCAAACAGCCTGGGTGTGTCTGGGGAGGGGGCTTGGGGGACTGCTGCCTTCAGGAGCAGGATGGTGATCTGAGTTCTCTGCTTTCAAGGCAGCCATGTCTGTGCGTGGGGGTGGGGGTGGTAAGAGAGGAAATATGAGAAACTGCACGCATGTTCGTATGCATGTGTTGTGTGACCTGACATGTGGTGCAGGACTGCCAACTGCATTCCAGGCCCTGTCAGCCCTCACTCGCCCAAGATCTCTGTTCTAGCTGCCTCACTCAACAGCTGCCCACAGCGGCTCCCTGCGAGGCTCTGGGCTTTTCTATTCTTGCCTCTATGTCTTGGGGGAAAGGATGGGGGTCTCTGTGGGACAGCAGGGGTCTTTGGTTTTATGTGGCTTCAGTCTAACTTTGAACCTGCTCTTGGACTGGGGGAGGGGGGTTGGAGGAGGGGCACCTGGAGACTAGGAGAGCCCAGATGGAATCTTGCAAACTTTTTGCCCAAGCTGGCCTTGAACCGTGTTCCTCCGGATCTCTGCCTCCCAAGCCTTACCTAGAGTGACAGGCGTGAACCATGGCCCCCGGGCTTGAAGCTTTTTTTGTTTAAACAGACCCTCAGTGTCAGGTCGGGGAAAGCAGTTCCTTAGGTTACTGGCTCTCATGCTTCAGAGTACAGAGTCTGACCCTAACACCTGGGGTGCGTCTCATTTGGGGAGCCTGCTGTGATTCTCCTGGCAAACTCCCAGGCCCCTGCCCATCCTCCCTACCCCCAGAGTCCCCATTCTCCCCTCACCCTCCCCTTCCACCGTCCTCAGCACTGACTCCACCTCCCCCAGACCCCAGAGATCTGATAACCCTTCCCTCCTTTAGTCCATCCTTCTCCCCACACAAGGCAGCCCAAGTGCTTATTAAAATCCACCCTGGGTTTTTCTTTCCCTTCAAGGCCTCTGCAGGGCTCAGTGTCTCTGTCTGATTAACAAATTCCTCAGAGAAGCCAGCTGGGGTCCTTCAGGGCTGGGGAGCAAAGCGTGGAGCAAAGTGAGGTGGGAAGGGAGGACTGCTGGAAGGAATTGGCTTCCATTTTTCCTTTCTCCTGCTTCTGTGTGTGTGTGTGTGTGTACTGGAACTTGAACTCAGACCCTGGGCACTGTCCCTGAATTTCTATTTTATTTTATTTTTTGGGTCCGGTCGTGGGGCCTGAACTCTGGGCCTGGGTGCTGTCCCTCAGCTCTTCAGCTCAAGGCTAGCACTCTACCACTTGAGCCACAGCGCCACTTCTGGCTTTTTTTCTTTTTGTGTATGTGGTGCTGGGGAATCGAACCCAGGACCTCATGCATGCAAGGCAAGAGCTCTACCACTGAGCCACCTTCCCAGCCCTGTCCCTGAATTTCTTCACTCAAGGTTGGCATTCTACCACTTGGGCTACATTTCCACTTCTACCTCTTGGGTGGTTAATGAGAGATAAGAATTTCATGGGCTTTTCCTGCCCAGCTGGCTTTGAACCACGATCCTCATATCTCAGCCTCCCGAGTAGCTAGGCCTATAAAAGCGTGAGCCACCGGCGCTGGTTCCATTTGCTTTTTATGAACAGCAGCAGGACCTGCCCAAAGACCCTTGGCTCCCAAACACAGGGCTCACTTTCTACCTTTTATTACCTTTTTCCAGCAGGGGCCTTAGTGAGAGTTTCCTGGTAAACACTGGTGCCAGGAATGAACCCATACCAGGTTTAAAGCAGCACCAAACAGGGTTTTAGTGCTGCCCCGCCTTCCCTCCCTCCACCCTTGACTACCCCAGACCTCCTGGAGAAAGGTAGGATTGGGGGCCCTGTTTAGAGCAGCCCCCAGGCAATCTCTGGTCTCCTGAGACATCCCCCCACCCCCCCTCACTCTTCACAGGGTGGGGGGAGGGGGAACGGTGCGGCTCTGCTGGATTTATGCTTCCCTTCACTGCTTCTTATTAGGGCTCTGCTCTGTGGGCAGAGGGCAGGGACTACAAAACCCTCTCCTCTGCCCCCACCTACTCCACTTCCCTGACCTTGAACTTGAGCTGACGTAGCCGAGATAATGGCTTCCTGAAGAAGCTCTGTGGGAAAAACTGGACCCCTGGGCAGAGGGCCTGGGAGATGACCAACAAGGATCGCACCCACTCTCCTTCATGTCATTTAGCCCAGGACGCGGGGAGGCCCGAGTTCAGAGGGAAGGGGACCGGCCTGGACTGCCTCCCCGTCCCCCCTCCAGCCGAAAGGCTGGCAGGCAGGAAGGACCCAGGGAATCTTCAGACACCAGAGCTGGAAGGCCCTGGACCAGGGTCCCCAGACCCTCACACCACCAAACCTGGGAAGTTAAGGCCAGATGTTTCTCCAGCCATCAGCTTCTCAGGTCTCAGCTCTGCCCGCTGCTCTGCCTCCCTGAGGCCAGGAGTTTCAGGTGGCCCTGAGGCTTCTCGCTTCCAGTTCAGTTTCTCTGGGACCCTTGGCCAACCTTTACGACTTGATCTCAGGCTCCTGGCTCGTTCTGCCTCTAGATCATGGCAGTGGTCCCCGGTGTCCAGTGCTCTCCCGCCCAGTGCTCCTCTCCCAGCCTTCCTGACTACTCCACGGGTGATTCCCTGATCTCTGCAAGTGGACTTCAAGTCCCCGCGGGACTCTCCTCTCCTTACTTCTCAGTTGCACTCGTGTGTGTGTGTGTGTGTGTGTGTGTGTGTGTTATACACTGGGAGGGAGTCAGGACAGAGGTAAACTGAGGCTGAGTTGGATAGGAGAAGATCTAGGTCTACTGCTTTGAATCTCAGCCCAGCACCTGTGGTTCACACTTATAATCCTGGCTAAAGTCAGAAGTGAATCCGTAGCTCAAGTAGTAGAGCACTAGCCTTAAGAAAAAAAGGTTCAGGGATAGCGCCCAGGCACTGAGTTCAAGTCCTAGAACCAGCACAGGAAAAAAAAAATCCTAACCTCAACCTGAAATATATCAGAATTCCTGCCACACTGTGTTGGAGTCTAAACTATAAGAAATGGTCCATTCCCACCCCACCCCCAGCCCCCTTCTGTGGGGTTGATAACAGCTCTGTGTGTGTGCGTGTGTGTGTGTGCGTGCATGCGCACGCGTGCGTGCTGGTTACTGGGCTTGAACTCAGGGCCTCCTCATGCTCTTGCTCAGTTTTTTTTGCTCACAGCTGGTACTTTACTACTTGAGCCACACATCCAATTTCGCTTTTTAAATAGTTAATTGGAGATAAGGGTCTCTCAGACTTTTCTACCTGGGTTATTTCAAACCATGATCCTCATAGCTCAGCTTCCTAAGTTGCTAGCATCACAGGTGTGAGCCGCTGGTGTTCCTTTCTGAATCCCACTGGCTCTTCCAGCCGTGTGGACATCAGCCGTCATTTTCCCATGTGCTCCGCAGTCTCAGCACCTCCTCTAAGCTGTGGAAATGAACCCCACACTCTTCACTTAGCACAAAGCTCCTCAGGTAGCTGGGCAGTCATGCTAGTGGCTACACCTGAAATCCTAATTACTCAGGAGACTGGGATTTTTTTTTTAGGTCCAAGACCAGGACTTGAACTCAGTACCTGACGATTTTTACTCACTGGCTAGCACTCTACCAACTAAGTCACACCGCCAATCTCTGGGCACTAAGATCTGAGGATCATAGCTTTTTGTTTTTGTTTTTTCAGTTGTGGGGCTGAACTCTGAGCCTGGGCGCTGTCCCTCAGCTCTTCAGCTCAAGGCTAGCACTCTACCACTTGAGCCACAACCCCACTTTCTGCTTATTCTGCCTATGTAGTGCTGAGGAATGGAACCCAGGGCCTCATGCATGCGAGGCAAACACTGTACCACTAAGCCACCTTCACAGCCCCTAAGGATCATAGTTTGAAGCCAACTGAGGTAAAAAGTCTGTGAGAGGGGCTGGGAAGGTGGCTCAGTGGTAGAGCGCTTGCCTTGCATGTATGAGGCCCTGGGTTCGATTCCTCAGCACCACATAAGCAAAAAGAAAAAAGCCGGAAGTGGTGCTGTGGCTCAAGTGGTAGAGTGCTAGCCTTGAGCTGAAGAGCTGAGGGACAGTGCCTAGGCCCAGAGTTCAGGCCCACAACTGGACCAAAAAAAAACAAAAAAAAAGTCTGTGAGACACTATCTCTCATTAACCAGCAAAAAGCCACAACTGGAGCTGTGGCTCAGATGGTAAAGCACCAGTCACTAGGAAAAAAATCCAACCAAGAGCACAAGGCACTACTAAATTAAATTCCCGGTACCCACACACAGAAAAAGGTACTAGAAATACACAATGAAAGTGGCTGGTAGGGGGCTGGGAATGTAGCTTAGTGATAGAGTGCTTGCCCAGCATGCATGAGTCCTGGGTTCGATTCCTCAGCACCACATAAATAGAAAAAACCAGAAGTGGCACTGTGGCTCAAATTGTAGAGTGCTAGCTAGCTTAGAGCAAAAAGAAGCTCAGGGACAGTGTCCAGGCCCTGAGTTCAAGCCCCAGGATTGGCCAAAAAAAGAAAGTGGCTGGTAGGACTTACTGTGACAGGGTCCCTGGGCTGACCTCCCCCCCCCACTGGCCGTTACCGTTCACTCTCCCCTTGCTCTCTGCTCCCTTTCTTCTGGAGTTTGGGGCTCTGATATGGTCACAGCCATGCTAGGAAAGAAGATTCACTCTTGCACCTGAGATTCACGGATGGGCTTTCCACCAGCCTCAAGATGGAGAGCTACAAGATTCATGGGAAGAGGTCCCCCTGCACAGTGGTACGGGGGAAATCCAGGTCCCCACGCTGCCCCCCGAGTGTGTGAAGACACGCTGCCTAGCCCTGGGTTGTGGGAGTCTGGTCTGACGTGGACACCGGGACACGCCTGCCAGCCTGGGCCTCTCTACCCGCTCGCCGTGTGGGTATTGGACCGGCAGGTCCTGCCCTGGGACTTATCAGGACCTTCTCCTCCCCGCGCCCTCTGCTAACCTCCCGATGACATCACCTACCACGTAGAAGGTGACCCCAAGGGACCTGACCTCTCAACTCCCTGGGCGCCCTCCTTCCAGCAGCCTCAACTCCACTCCCCTTCGCCACCACCCCACAAAGCCACTCCGCATTTGTTTTCATTGGAAACCGTTCCTCCTCCAGGCGAGCAGACACCCCCTGCTCCTCCCCCCCCCCGCCCCGCCCCACACACTGGCTCTTTTCACCAGCTCACCTTTGCTCTCTGCCCATTCCATCACCCTGCCCGGCCTGTCTTGACCTCTCTCCTATACACTCATTAGATTCTCCATCCACTTTCAATCATGTTTTTGTGCCAGACATGTAGCTCACACCTGTAATCCCAGTACACAGGAGGGTAAGGCAGGAGGGCTTCAAGGTCGAAACTAGGCTGGCTACATAGTGAGACCCTGTCTCAAATTTTTTTCTTTTTCCTTTCCTTTTATTTTTCCTTTCCTCCCTCCCTCCCTCCTTCTCTTTCTTTCTTTCTTCTTTCTCCCTTCCTTCTCCTCCCCTCCCCTCTCCTTCCCTTCATTTCCCTTCCTCTTTCTTTCCCCAACCTTAAGCTCCTTGGCCTCTTACCTCTGATCATCCCAGCCCTGAGTGAAGCAGCCACACACACGTTCTCTGCATTCATGTCGGAGCAGCTGAGCGCTGTGATGTAGTAGAGGAATCAGACTTGCTTCTCATAAAATTCAGAAGAAGGGTGAATAAACAGCACCCACTCTGGGATTTAGGGGTCAGGTGTGTGTTGGGGTGGGGCTACACCGGACTGCTTGTAAGGCTGCAGAGAAAATGGAAGGCGGCAGAGAGACAGGGCCGCCAGGAAGGAGGGCCCAGAAGAGGGCCCTGCGCTGGACACCCTGCCATCTGCAGAACTTCTCAGGCCTGGCGGGCCGCGGCCTCCATCACAAGCCTGGGCCAGGCACTGCTCCTCCTGCTCAGGAACGAGCAGCCTTTCACCAGGTTCTGGATGGGAAACCGGGACGTGGGATGGAGCAGCCAGCCGAGGGCAGCACCAAGGGCCGGGGGCGTGGGATCCGGGCCGGGCCGGAGTCTGGAGACGCAGGTCCCGAGGCGCCGGCCTCAGCTCTGACCTCATCCCTAAGCACTGGTGTTCCTCATCAGCCCCTGTCCGACTTGGGGGTCACAGGGCAGGGCAGGCAGGTCCTGCCCCAGGGCAATAAATCAAGGCAGGAAGCGTGAAAAATACCCCAAGTGTGCGGTGCATAAAAGAAGGGCTCAGGGAGCCACCAGGCTTCAGTGGACCCCAAAGAACCGAGACTAAGCAGCAGCATGGATGGATGGGGCGGATGCTATCGATGGGGACTCTTGCTGCTGCTCTGCGGCTGCGCCTTTGCTCTCCCCACAGACACCGCTGCCTTCAGACGGTAACTGGGGGAGAGAAGGGGGCAGGGGTCCTCACCTTCCTCGCACCCCCAGCTTTCAGATATGTGGGGTTAGCCAGTCCATAGGGCAAGCTAGTCAGAGAAGCCTGAACCCGTCCAGAGTCAATTGACTGCCTAGTATCACACAGCCAATAAGTAAATGGCTGTGTGTGTGTGTGTGTGTGCGTGTGCGTGTGCGTGCGCTGATACCAGAGCTTGAACTCAGGGCTTCTGTGCTGTTCCGTAGGTTTTTTGCTCAAGGCTGGTGATCTACTGCTTGAGCCACACATCCACTTTCAGCATTTTGCTGCTCTGGCAATTACAGTCCTATACATTTGACTGCCCAGGCTGGCTTACAACTATGATCCTCAGATCTCAGCCTCCTGAGTAACTAGGATTGCAGGCACTGACAGGAGCCTTCATTTTTTGGCATCTGTAAGACAGAATAGCTGCCGGGCACTGGTAGCTCAGGCCTGTAATCCTAACTATTCAGGAATAGTTAGGCTATCTGAGGATCATGGTTCAAAGCCAGCCCAGGCAAGAGAGGCCCATGAGACTCTTATTTCCGATTAAACACCAGAAAACCAGAAGTTGTGGCTCAAAGTGGTAGAGGGCTAGCCTTGAGCAAAAGAGCTCAGGGACATTGGCCAGGCCCCATAAACAACAACAACAACAAAATACAGACTAGCTGGTTTTCAGAGGTCGGAGTGGGTGTGTGTGCTAGGTGGTGGACATACAAGAATTAACTTATATTCGTGAGTTCCTAGTCTCTTCAAACTGCCTGCCAAAGGGGATGGAAGGGGCCAGGACAAGAAAGACTAAAACTTGGGCCCTAGACATATTTCCCTGAGGGTGAGGCGCATAGGCACTGTGGAGATGATGCTGGCATCTCTCTGCCCAGTCCAGTTCAGACAGTCCACAACAGCCCTGCCCCTAGGGCTCCTGCTAGCCCCTGCAAGCTGCTGTGGGAGTCTGCTGCCACCTACAGGCCCCATGTGGCACTGTCACCCAGTGGTGAGTGGGTGCTCCCGGCCTATATCTCCCCAGGGGGATTTCACTGTCTGTTTCCTATTGTATCTTTCTCTATGGTCACTATCTACTTAAAGGCAGCAATAGGAGCATCATGGTCTGATGCAGGCCTCATAAAACAAACTGAAGCTGAAAGAACTGGGGGTGTGGCTAAAGCGAGAGAATGCCTGCTAGCAAGTACAAGGCTCTGAGTTCAAACTCCAGTATTGCCAAAATGAATTAAAAGGCAGCAATGATGCAGTGGTTTTTACATCTCTGTCCAGCACAGTGAGGCAGAGCAGGTGCAAAACACAGGATGGTGAGATGGGTGGATAGTGGGGAGGGAGGAGGGGGTTGTCCTGGGGCTTGAACTCAGGGCCTGGTCACTCTACCTGAGCTTTTGTGGTGATAAGAGTCTCGTGGGCTTTCCTGCCCAGACTGGCATGATCTTCAAATTCCAGCTGCCTGAGTTGCTAGGAATACAGGTGTGAGTCGTGGGTTTTATCTAAGTGATGGATGGGTTTTATCTAAGTAAAACAAGACCATGGGAGGAAGCTGTTTGACACCATAGCAGGCTTATCTATGTGCTTAGCAGCCCTGGGGCCGAGGAGATCCTTGGGCACTATGGCTAAGTTGAGTGGCAGATGTCCCACAGGACACAGGGGACTCTGAGCTCTGTCACTACAGCAGGGGTCCAGGGAACTTCTGTTTTTCTCTCACCTGGGTCTAGGATCTTCCTCAAGAAGATGCCCTCAGTCCGGGACAACCTGAAGGAGCGGGGAGTGGACATGGCCAGGCTCAGTACCCAGTGGAGCCAGGTCACCAAGAAGCTCTCCTCTGGCAATCATACCACCCCTGTGGTCCTCACCAACTACCTGGACGTGAGTGCCCAGCTCGGCCACCTCCTCCATCCTCCCTGTCTCCTTTCTCTGTGGGACCTAAGTCTTCTTTTCCTGCCAGGCTCACTCTTGTTTGACTGAGAGTACTCTACAAAACTCCTGCCTTATACCCGAAAAGCCTTGGGCACAGAGGAGCTAGTCACGGGCAGAGTTCAATGAAAACCAGGGCCCATTCTCAAGCCAGGCATTTCTGGTGAAGAGAAAGGCATGTAACCTCAGATAGGGTTCTGATGATGACTTGGTTTTGCCCAGCCTGGCACCTCTTGCCCCAGTGGTGTCTCAAGGTTGGCATTTTCCTTGTTCTTCTTTGCTTTCCTGCCTCACTGAGCTACATCCTGGGATGCTGGGGGCTAGGGCCAACGCCACCCAGGCCCTGCAGGAAAATGGAACCCAGAGAGGCTGTAGGTCTTTGGCCCCAGGGACCACAGGTAGAACCAGGCAAGATCCAGCACCCACAACCCCTCCCGTACTTCTCCACCTTGTACTCTTTCCTTTCCCCTTGCAGATCCAGTACTATGGAGAGATCGGCATCGGTACCCCACCCCAGACCTTCAAAGTCATCTTTGACACAGGTTCAGCCAACCTCTGGGTGCCCTCTACCAAGTGCAGCCCTCTCTACACTGCCTGTGGTGAGACCCAGCACTGCGACCACTCCCCATGTCCCCACTCAGCTGCTTTTATGCAGTCCTGACCTAGGCCAGCTAAACCCCGGCTGCTGTGAATGAGCTGCTTCCTGTCTGCCTCTGTGCCCCCTGACTCTGGGAGGAAAGAGGAAGGTAGCTCCCATTTTCCTGATACGGCCAGCTCCAGGAGCCACCTGACCACCTACAAGGCCATTTCCCAGTGTCCCTGAGATTAAACCATGCCCAAATTCTCAAACCCCTTCCAGGCCCTTTGTCTGTCTGTCTGTCTGTCTGTCTGTCTCTCTCTCTCTCTCTTTCTCTCTTTCATCAGCTGTGGGGCCTGAACTCTGGCCCTGGGCGCTGTCCCTCAGCTCTTCAGCTCAAGGTTAGAGTCCTACCACTTGAGCCACAGCTCCACTTTCAGCTCTTTCTTGTGGTTGATTAGATAAGAGTCTCACGGACTTTCCTGCCCAGGCTGGCTTTGAACCACGATCCTCAGATCTCAGCCTCCTGAGTAGCTAGGATTACAGGCGTGAGCCCTGGGTGCCCAGCTCCCTTTGTCTCTGTCATCCTCAGCCTTCATCAATAACCTGTTACTAAGCGCTTACTACAGTGCCCAGAATCTTCTCCAGCATTGTCAGCTTTACTATGTTTAAGTGCTTCATTGGAGACAAGTATCTCCAACGTGGGAGGGCAGAAGGGGTGCTCAAGAAACACAGTCCAGGCCCTGCTCAGTGCCACTCTCCACGCCCCCCCTGCACCCCTGCACCTGCACCTCAGCCCCACCAGCCATGCCCACAACTTGCCGAGACTTGAGCCTGTGTCCTTCTACCAGAGACCCACAGCCGTTATGACTCTGCGGAATCCTCCAGCTACATGGAGAATGGGACGGAATTCACCATCCACTACGGCTCAGGGGAGGTCAAAGGCTTCCTGAGCCAGGACATTGTGACCGTAAGTGGGGTTTCCCCCTGGGCATCTGGATCCTGGGTTACTGGGTCCAATCACTGTGTGATGGATGGCGGCTTTTGCTTCTCACCTGCACACAGATTTGTCTGCCTGAGGCCACCGACCCACACAGGGCTCTCAGCCAGGGTCACAAGATTGTGGCTGGGCTCAGTCTTTTAGGGTCAGGTACAGTTTGAAGTTAAGAGTTGAGGGTTGATGGCAGGGCTGGTTTTCTTGGCCCTTCCCACTGTGGAATTTCTCTTGCCAGAGTAAGCAGGAGGCAATGGGAAGGGCTGGTCTGGCTGTGTGAGAGAAGTCCTTGGCTTGTGATGAAGTGGGCAGCCAGCTGGGGGGGGGGGATGCAGAGTGTCCAGCATGGTCACTACCTGGCAGGACACCTTCTCAGCTCACCCTGCAGCACTAGTCAACCCCAGTTCTCTCTGGACCCCATGCTGAGGATGAGGGGAGGTGGTGATGGTGGTGGTAGAATTATCTCACCCCAAATTGCTATACCCAGAGGCAGATTTGTTCCTGGTGTGGAAGCCCAGCTGCAGGCCCCAGCAGGCAGCGGGCTCAGCCTCTTGGGCTCTTCTCCCCACAGGTGGGTGGGATCACGGTGACACAGGTGTTTGGAGAGGTCACAGAGCTGCCCCTGATACCCTTCATGCTGGCCAAGTTCGACGGGATCCTGGGCATGGGCTTTCCTGCCCAGGCTGTGGGTGGCATCACCCCCGTCTTTGACCACATCCTCTCCCAGAGGATCCTAAAGGAGGATGTCTTCTCTGTCTACTACAGCAGGTGAGCCTGTGACTCCAGGGCTGGGGCTCGGGGAGGGAGAATGAAAGGAGAGTCTGGGCTGGGGTTTTACTGTACTAGATTAAGTGATAATCAGTTAACAGCTCCGGCCTCACTAGCCAAGATGGAAACTGCTATTGATCTAAATTAACTGAAATGAAATGAGGCCAAGCATGTGGTTCCTGCATTGCACTGCTTTCCCAAGGCCAGCAGTCCCCGTGGAGGTAATGATTTCCATGCTGCACGGTAAAGGTCTAGCTCCATCATGGTGGAGGAGCTTGTCTGGAACCAGAGGAGAATGCAGTTGTGAGAAGGAGATGGGGGGGGGGGGAGAAGACAGGGGGAAGTGGGGAGGACCATGGCTCCTCCCACACGGAAGTAACCACCTTCATACCTTCATTGGCTCCTGTGCTTATTTGCTTGCTTGTTGATTCAATCAAAGCTGTGTAGGACACACTATGGTGGGCTGGGGGCGGGGGGTACAGAGATCCTCCAAGAGTGCAGTTTAACTGAGGATGGGTATGACAAGCATTCCCATGGCCAGTGCTGGAAACAACAGGTGCTTTTCAGATCTAGGCTGGGCTTCTGTACAATCCAGCCAGCCCTGGGGAAGCTGGGGTCAGCTCCTGAGCGGGGCTGTGATCCAATCCCAGCTGCTGGCTTAGAAAGGAGGTCTAGGCCGGAAATGAGGTTGGAAGGGTTAAGAACACAAGGCCAGTGGTCGTGGGAGTGGAAGAAAGAGTGGAGAGCAATCTCAGAAGTGAGAAGCTCTCTGGCTGGTGGCAGAAGAAAAAAAAGCGTTAAGGAAAGGCCACCGATTAGATTGGGGGGAAGACAGGGGGGAGGGAGGCTCTGGAAGAGCCTTCAGAGGAAGTAGAGGCAAGGCCGGAGGCAAGCAGTTAAGCGTGGAGGGGGGAGTAGGAAGTGGAGGTCACAAATGTAGGCTGCCCTGGGAAATCCAACCAGGAAGGGGAGGTGAGGGCCGTGGGTGGTGTGTGGGAGGGGAGATGGAAGAGCAGCAGGGGAAGGGAGGGGCTTGTAAACGCTAGGGGATGCTGGGGCAAGGCTTGTGGGTGGAGGAAGAAGTTGATGGGAAGTTGAGATGGAAAATTTGAAGAGGAGATAAATAAGGGGTACTGGAGTCAGGCCATGCTTTGAGAGAAGGCCCTTGTCCTTCACCTTAGACTGGAAAGAAGGAGTTATCCAGAAAGATCCTGGTAAATATATATACACACACACATATATTTGATATATATATCCTATATATATAATAATATCTATATACTATATATTATATTATTATATATTATATATGTTACATATTATATACATATATACACACACACAGAGGGGACTTGTGCTACAGCATGCAGCATGTACAAAAATGCAAGCTATTGGCACTTGTAGGAAAGAGCATGGGCAAATCTACCAGGCACACCTGTTTGTGTACACATGCCCCTGCACACATCCATGGAGAAACTAGAAACTAGCCCTGGGCTGGGAAGGTGGCTTAGTGGTAGAGCACTTGCCTTGCATGCATGAGGCCCTTGGTTCGATTCCTCAGCACAACATAAGCAAAAAGAAAAAAGCTGGAAGTGGCGCTGTGGCTCTTGAGCTGAAGAGCTGAGGGACAGCGCCCAGGCCCAGAGTTCAGGCCCCATGACCGGACCCAAAAAAAAAAAAAAAAAGAAAAGAAACCAGCCCTGGGCAGCCCCTGGGCTATGGGAATCACTGTCCCAACAGGGAGGAGAGGAAGGCGGGGGAAGGAGCCTCAGGCCCGGCCCCGCTTGTGCACTGGAGAGCTGTGGGTGTCTGTAGGCAAGGACCCCCCTGTTAGCGACTCCACTGCCCGAAGGGTGAGAGCGAGTACTTTATCCTTATCCCGCCCAGCAACGGGGCCTGAGAGGCTTCCCTGAAGTGAGCCTCTCTGCCCGCCGCCCTCTCTTTTAGGGACTCCCACCTGCCAGGAGGAGAGCTGGTGCTGGGGGGCAGCGACCCCCAGCACTACCAAGGGAATTTCCACTACGTGAGCATCAGCAAGCCGGGCTCCTGGCAGATCACAATGAAGGGGTCAGGCATCCCCAACCCACCAGCCCTCTCTCGAAATGCGGGCACTCCTAGGGCACAGCCTTGATCAGCCCTCAGCCTGCTCTGTCCTGGCTGGGGGAATGGGAGGGTGTGGGGAGGCGGGCCCACATGCTGAGGGGGAGGGGACAACACCATCCTCTCTGCTCACTGCCTCCTCCAAAGCATCCCTGCATGGCTTCCTGTCACCGCCCTCTCAGCCTGGGGTGCCCGTCAGCTTCTGTCTGTCTGTCTGACTGGGGCCTCCCCAGGGTGTCCGTGGGATCGACCACCTTGCTGTGTGAGGAGGGCTGCGTAGCAGTGGTGGACACAGGAGCCTCCTATATCTCGGCTCCCACCAGCTCGCTGAGGCTGATCATGGAGGCACTGGGGGCCAAGGAGCAGAGCGCAGATGAAGTAAGATGCTAAGGGAACAGGACACTGCATGGGGCGGGGGGGGGGGGGACACCACCCACACCATTTCAAGCCTCTGCCTCCCCTCTCACCCCCCAGCCCTCTCCAGAAAAGGGGCCAGGCCAGAGACAGGGCTCCTTGTCTGCTGAGAACCTCCCATACTAAAAGAGGCCCCCTTTATCTTCTCCCCCCAGTATGTTGTGAACTGCAATGAGGTGCCCACACTCCCCGACATCTCCTTCCACCTGGGGGGCAGAGCCTACACACTCACCGGCGGGGACTACGTACTACAGGTACATAGGGGTGGGCAGGGGCTGTCGACTGAGTGGGGGGGGGAGTCGGGTTCTCTTCAGACGTACCTGCTCATGCCACCTGGAGAGTTTTTTAACAATCCCAGGACCCTGGCCACCCTCCCCCGCCATCTGTTAAGTCAGAGCCTCTAGACGTGATGCTCAGAAATCAGAGCTTCCGAAACTCCCCAGGGTTCCGATGAGGAGCCAAATGTATGGATCGCTGTGCAGTCTCTCTGCCTCTGTTTTCTCACCAAACACTCCTGGAAATCTATGTTTTTATACATTCCTATCCTCTTCATGCTTCATGTACTCAGAGAAGTGAAATAACTTGTGTTAGATCAGAAGCTGAGCTAGTACAGCAGGCTCTTTTTTTGGAGGCACTAGAGTTTGAACTCAGGGCCTTGTACTTGCTAGTAGTAAAGGACTAGCTTTACTACTTGAGTAACACCCCAGCTCCTTTTTGCCTTAGTTGTGTGTGTGTGTGTGTGTGAGAGAGAGAGAGAGAGAGAGAGAGAAAGAAAGAGAGAGAGAGGATCCTGAGGCTTGAACTCAGAGTCTGAGTGCTGTCCCTGAGATTTTCTTTTGCACGTCTAGTGCTCTACCACTTGAGCTGCAGCAACATTTCCAGCTTTTTGCTGGCTAGTTAGAGATAAGAGTCTTACAGACTTTTCCTGCCCAGGCTTGTTTTGAATTGTGATTGATCCTCAGATCTCTCAGCTGAGGATTACCATGCCTGGCTCTAGACTGTCAGCTCTTGAAAGTAGCCCCAAGGCCGAAACTGCCCAGTGTAGCTGCGTCTGGGGTGGGATGCAATTTGGCTTCGCTAAAATAGTGAAGACTGATCTCAGGCCCAGGGGGACAGAAGAGAAAACAATACACTGCTAAAGACAGCTGTGGGGGCCATGGAAGATGATAGAAAGGTGGTCCTGGGCTGAGTCACAGAGCAACCCTCTTGTTTACCGCCAGGACTCCTACAGAAACAATGACCTGTGCACATTGGCCCTCCACGGCCTGGACATCCCTCCACCCACTGGGCCTCTCTGGGTCTTGGGTGCCAGCTTTATCCGCAAGTTCTACACCGAGTTTGATCGGCATAACAATCGCATTGGCTTTGCTTTGGCCCGCTGAGGCCCTTCAACTGTCTGGATGACCTTGTCTTCTGTACAAGCAGGAAGCTGCTACATTTTCTAGGAGGCCCCTCTGCCTAGGCTCCGCCCTCATGTGAGGACACCGCTTAGCCCCGCCCCCCAGCACCAGCCCTTTCCTGCTTTGAGAACACACAGAATAAAGACTCCATGTTCATAATTGGCTGCATTTGGGTTGACTGGGGCTTGAGACAGAGGGAAGGGGCAGGCTGAGTGACGTGTGTGTGCACATTCACCCCCATCACAGGTTCCTGCAAGCAAGTTTATGCAACTTTGGTTGGGAACTTTGCAGAGAGCCAGTCTGTGCCCCTAACCCCATGCCTGCAAGGGCCAAAGCTAATGCTATGATAGTAGACCTTGGCTCAGAAAGATGCTCACAGAGCCAGCTCTGAATCCAGGCTCTGGGTTACTGAGCTAGCCAGCCCTGTCTCCCCTGTCGGTGGCTCCTGCCTGTAATCCTAGCTACTCAGGAGGCTGAGATCTGAGGTTCTCAGTTCAAAGTCAACCTGGGCAACCAAGTCCATGACACTCTTATCTCCAATTAACTAGCAAAAAGCCAGAAGCAGGTTTATGGCTCAACCAGTAGAATACCAGGCTTGCACAAAAATAGCTAAGGGACAATGCCCAGGCCCTTAATTTAAGTCCTAGTACCGGTACAAAATCAACACCTAAAAATGTAGACTATCAGAGATCCACTTTACACATGGGGAAACAGGCTTGGATGATGGGAGGTATTTGCCCAAGACCACCTGGTGAAGAAGCAAGTCGGGAAGGGTCCTAAAAATGGTAAAGCAAACCTAGAACCCAGCTTGTCTGACTCAGGTCCTAGAGCTTTTCGCACCTGATCACATGATGGTGTCACCAGACACCTGGGGCCACACATGCACACCTACACGGCTATCCTCTCTTCTCCCATTCTTGGTATCCCCAGGCTGTGTGTAGGGTAGGTATAGCTTGGGAAATGGGAAATCTGCAACCATCTGAAGCCACCAACACTGTCCTCTCACCATGGCTACAGATGCCTCATTTGACCCCAAACAGGTCCCACTGAGCGGCCCTCGGTGCCTCTAGGATTGCAGCCTCCTTGCATTGGGGTGGGGAGGAGGACAGGACTTCTCTATCCTGTAACACAAGCTGTCTAGAGCAACAGCCTCGGCTTCTGGGTCCCAGGCTCTCGCTGAGTCTCTGAGTTCCCTTGTCCTGTGTGACTTTATTTCCTTATTGCAAAAGGGAGAAGGAGCTGGAGGCAGAGTCCTCTCCAGCCTGGGAGATGCTGGGGCTGAGTGGCCTCAGGGACGCAGCCCCTCTCCCAGCCTCTGCTAAGTTGCACCCCACACAGCGGCCACCTCGAGCTATTTCCACTTGAAATAAAGGAAGGAAAATGGCACTCTAGCTATGTTTCAAATGTTGTCTAGCCACTCGTGGCTGGCTAGTGGCCACTATACCAGACAGCACAAAAATTGCCAGCGCTGCGGAAGTTCTGCCAGATAGCAATGCGCATAGGGCTTTGTGGTTGAGTGGGCCAAAAGGACAACTTGGGGACACAGAGAGGGCCCCTTCTGTAGGTACTTCTCAGCGTGTGTTGGGGGACAGTGTGAGGTCCCTGAGGCAGGACATTTCGTGGCCTAGACCTTCCTGTGTATGCAGAGGGCTGGCAGCTGGGGGCCTGCTCAGGAAGTGACAGAGGACCAATATGAGTAAGGGGGTCCACAGGGGTGTCCATCCATGGCTCCTCTTCCCCAGAGCAACTCTGATGGGGGGGGAGCTTTGTCACCCTTCCTTAGAGAGTCCTACTTGCCACTGAACAGCCTGTTTGTGCCCTATAGATATGCCAGGCCAGGAATGGAGGTGTGGATCAAGTGGTAGAATGCCAGCCCTGACAGCAAAAGCTAAGCAAGAGTGTGAGCCCCAGTACACGTGTGTGTGTGTGTGTGTGTGTGTCAAGCTTTCAACTCTTCTGAGGGTATGGGGGCGGGGTTGCTGTTAGTTCTTGGGTAGATCTTATAGCTGCAAACCCACATCCACACCTCTGCCCAGCAAAGCTCTGAGCTCAGGGGGACCTGCTGGACTGTCACCTAACCCCAGTCAGATCTTCAGGATGGAAAGGAAATTTTAAAGATTTAGTGATTAGGGCTGAGAAGGTGGCTTGGTGGTAGAGCACTTACCTAGCACACACAAGACCCTGGGTTCGATTTCTCAGTACCACATAAACAGAAAAAGCCAGAAGTGGCCCAAGTGGTAGAGCCCTACCTAGCCTTGAGCACAGAGAGGCTCAAGGACAGTGTCTAGGCCCTGAGTTCAAGCTCTAGGACCTGCACCAAAAAAAAAAAAAAAAAAGTGACTAAAGCTCAGTCTTCTTCAAAATCATGGCCTAATACTCCAATACCGGGAGTGTTCAGAAGTGACTTGTCAGAAGACACACGGTCACCAGGCCTGGGATACTCACTATCAGCGGCCTCCCCCCACCCCCCAAGCCTTCTGCCCACTGCATGTGTGTGCGCTGGCAGACACTGCAGGCAGTGGGGTGCGCTCCTGTAGAGCCTTTCCTAGGGCTGGGAGCGCTGGGCGCAAGCTGACATATTCAGGGTGAGGTGAGGGGTCCAGAAGAACCCGTTCCTACCCCCAGGCAGCCAGAAAAAGGCGGTTTCAGAAGCAGGGTAGGAGTGGGGGGTGTGTGTGCGCGCGCGCGCGCGCGAACCCGGGTCTGCCCGGCTTAGGACCTGGGGGCGTGTCCTGGACAGGCCCCGCCCATGTGGACGCCCCGCCCCTCGCCGACACCGCTCCCCCC